TCAAACCCACAGAGATTCACCTGCTTCTGCCTCCTGAGTGCTGGGGTTAAAGGTGTGTGCCACCACCGCCTGGCTCCTTACTGAATTCTTAATCCAGTCTTCACCTTGGACATGTGGCTTTTGAAGCACTGAGGATTGAACCTAGAGCTTCATTCATGCTGAGAGTGTGTCTACCCTTGAGCTGATGGCTACAGTTTCCAGGTCCCTGTGGATGTTTTTGTCATCTGGCTATCCTGGAACTCACTCTGTAGACCAGGCTGGTCTCGAACTCACAGAGATCCACATACCTCTGCCTCCCAAGTGCTGGGATTAAAGGTGTGTGTTGTTGGTGCCACCACTATCTGGCTCTGTTTGTTTGTTTCTTCCTATGTATTTTGTTTGTTTTTAAATCATATCATATTTAGCAGGGCAGTGGTGGCACATGCCTTTGATCCCAGCACTCAGGAGGAAGAGGCAGGTGGATCTCTGTGAATTCAAGGCCAGCCTGATCTACAAGAGATGGTACCAAGACAACCTCCAAAGCTACACAGGGAAACCCTGTCTTGAAAAAACAAAAATAAATAAATAAATAAACCGTACCATAGTTCACGGAGGGTTCAGCACTGCTTTGCCATATGCCAGGATCCTGGCAGCCTGAGGCCACCCTGTCAGCTTCAGGGCTTTGAAGTTCAGTTTTAGTCCCGGTGAGAACCCAATTCTGGGTCACCTTGTTCTGTGGATGCAATCCAAAGCAAGCATTTAAGCTGGGTGTGGTGGCACACACCTTTAATCCCAGCACTGGGAGGCAGAAGCAGGTGGATCTCTGTGGGTTCTTGTCTACATAGACTACAGCCAGGGCTGCATGGCAAGATCTTATCTCAAAGCAAAGCAAAACAAAGTAAGCATTTAAAATTACATATTTAAGGGCTGGGTGAGGGACCTTAGTTGACAAAGTTCTTGCCTAGCATGTATGATACCCTGGGTTTCATTCCCAGTACCAGATATACCAGGCATGGCACATGCCTGCAATCCCAGCACTCAGGAGATGGAGGCAGGAGGTCGAGAAATTCATGGTTATCCGTGGCTATATAAGACCCTATTTCAAAAAAGGGCATATAGTGAGGCTAGAGAGATGGCCCAGCAGTTAAGATCACTGGCTGCTCTTCCAGAAGACCTGGGTTCAATTCTCAACACCCATATCATGACACAACCATCAGTTGTTAGTCTTCAGTCTCAGGAAATTTGAGTCCCTCTGTGCATACCAGGCATACAAATGGTGTTCAAATATGCATGCAGGCAAAACACCCATACACATAAAACTAAATTAAATTAAATTAAATTACAAAGTCACCTAAGGCTCAGGCAACAGCATTTTAGGATAGGGTACAGAAAGATTGTAAAAGCCACAGGATCAGGGAGTTTGCTCCGAGATTGTGTCTCCTAGGAATGTCAGAAGATATACAATCTCAACAACATGACTGCCAAGTAAGAGCTGAACAAGAATAATAGACACGCCAATAGGGGACAAGGACTATAGGCAACTAAGGAATGTTCTTCCCCAGAGAAGAGCAAACCAACTGGCTATCCAACACCAAATGGTCAGCTCTGCAACATGCTTATGAGTAACATTCATACTGAGCAGATTGTACATAGGAATATATGTGTATATACATATGTATACATACATGTAACAAGTCAATGAAAAAAGAGGTCATGGACTTGAAAGGAAGCAAGAAGGGGCAAATGAGAGGGTTTGGAGGAAAGAAAGGGAAGGGATAAATAATCTCAAAAAATCACATATTCATTCATAAATTCTTCGGTTATCTGCTTGGCTGTCTATCCATCTATGCATTTCTCTATACATTATCAGTGAGTCTTCCCACATGGCCACATTTCCTATCTCCTATCTACCCATTCATGTCAGTACTTTCAGACGCACACCAATAGATCATTCATTACTTCACCCAGCCATTGGACTGACAAAATTTTTGTGCTGGGCAACATTCTAGGTGCTTGGGGGAAACTTCTTGGTTAAGTTCCTAAGTTCCTGATGGATATCACTCCATAGTATAAATACTATGAGGAAATATGGGACATGGGGCCAGGGTTAGGGCCTGTGTCACTAGGGTGGACAGGCAGGTAGTGGTGATTTTAAGAGAGGTGCCCAGGATGGATCCCTCCAAGGAAGTGTCATGGAGGAGGGATTTAGAGGTGAAGGCATGGGAGCTATGATGTCCAAGGATGGAGCTGATCAAGGAGGACACGGGACAAATGTGTCAGTGGTGTACCATCTGCAGGAGGTGGACCAGTGCCATCTGATGCCACTTAGCACCAAGGGAGCTCAGAGCTGTGGAGGGCAATGCTGGCAGTGAAAGGCCCAGGCAACTCTTGGTGCTGTCTTGGCTGAGGCCTGTAGCAATGGGGTGTTGATTTTAAGCTATGAAAAACAGGCAGTCTCTGATTTTCTAAAACTAAACCTGTCCTGCATGTAAAGCAGCTGAATCTGTTAGATTTTGTGGTTGTCTCTGTTGGGCTTTGAGCTAACGTGAAGCAAATGAGATGGGCCCAACAGACAGGGGCTGACCGTCAGCATGAAGGGGCTGGACAGAGATGTACCTTAAATGGGTCAGCCGTGTCCACACTCTGTAATTACAGAGTCTCTGTAGACCCTTCTCCATCTCTCCTCCAGTATCTGTAGATGATGGCCACATTGGCCAGGCCTCATCATCCCTATTCTCACTGTGACCTCATGAGCACCACCACATTGGCTCTGCACAGCCAGGCGAGGAGGAGAGTGTTAGGGTCACAGGTGTATACCATCACACCCAGGTCTTTGTGGCTCTTAGGGGCAGGTGGACAGTGGATGAGAGTCATGTGGGTAAATGAGAGATCGTGGTGGCTTTGCATGAGTGGTAGACAGAAGCACGGAACTTGGTTGGTGGGTAGATGGAGAGGGGCAAAAGTGACCCTGGAGGCTCTGCCACTGGAGCTGGGTCTGCTTGGGTCCGGATAGGGAGCCCAGGGGACCAGTGGCTTATTGATGTATCAGTATCCAGCCATGGTCCCCCAGCTTTCCCCAATTCTCTGAAATGAAAGCCTCCTTCCTAGATTAGCAGAACACACCTGGTTCTAAGCACCAAATACCCTGTCATTAGGTGGCCTCACTGGCCACAGTGGCCAGTGTGCTGCACTCGTGGGACCTGAGCCTCACAGAGGCTATGCTCCAGAACATGGAGGCTGAGCAGCAGCGTAGGGCCCAGGAGGTCCAGAAGCACAAGGAAACTGAGGCTAAGCGGTATGCCAAGGGGGCTGGGAGGGATGGGGGGATGGGGGAATGGCAATGACGTGGATGATTCTGACCAGCTGGCTTCTTCCTACTGCAGCATCAACCTCAAGGTGCAGCAGCTGGCTAAGGAGCAACAGCGGTGTCACAAGGAGGTGAGCTGTGACCTAGGCCTCTCTCCAGGAAGAAGAACCAAGGGAGGGTCAGGTGGGGGTAAGTTGCTGGGGTCTCTAAACCTTGTCTGCCCACAGCTACAACAGGCTTATTGCGAGCTCAATCGGAGGATCATGGAACATGATAAGTGTGAGAGGAAGTGCATGGGCAAGACTGAGCTCACACTGCAGGTGGGCTCTCACTGATACTGTGCTTTTTCTAGGTCTCCCCAAGCTTCACACCAGTCTGGGGGTTCTCTTTCCAGGGAATTTCAGGCACCTTTGCCTTTCAGACCTAAGGTGTCACTTAGTAACAGTGGCCTCCTTGGGGCCATGGGTGGAGCCAGCAGGTCCTGGTAGGCTGACCTCTTGTATCTGGGCAGCCAATCCTACCCCCACCCTCCCACAAAGTAGGTGGTGACTGAGGGGATGGGGAAAGCAATGGTCAGCGTGGCCCCTTCTTTAGGCCATCAAGGATGCAGAAGCCCAAGTGGACAGGTTGCGGCAGGAGGCACAAAAGGCTGAAGAGACACTGGCCATGGCCAGGCTGGAGCTGCGGGAGCAGACCCAGGAGGGTGGGCAGGGTTGTGATGGGGCAGCTGGGGGACTTGGAGAGGTGATGCCAGGGAGGGGGTTTGCAGTGGGATTTAGCATTTCCCATGTTCTGCAAACTAACCCCTCCACAGAGGAGGAGATGGCAGCACCTGGACTGCAGTGCAAGGTCACAGAGCTTCATGACGTCCTGATGAAGGATGTAGGTGACCGAATCCGAGCTGATGGACGGTCAGTATCCAGGCTGGGGAGTGGGTACAAGTCAGAGGTGCCCACAGACTGCAGTGACCAGGTGGCTGCCTTCAGGTGGCCTCTTGTCATCGACCCTTCTGGCCAGGCAGCCACTTTCCTGAGGTACCAGGATACCAACTATGTGGACACTGTAAACCCAGAGCACTTGAGACCTGAGACAATCCGACTGGCTCTGCTGGGGGCACTCAGGTATGGCAGGCAGGGCCCAGGACAGCCCCATCCTGGGTCTCACCTGCCTGTTCACCAGACACCCCTACAGGTATGGGAAGCCACTGGTGTTCGACCTTCGTGAAGTGGACCTGTTCCCAGCTGTACAGCAGCAGCTGGAGGCAGTACAGCCTGGCCTGGCACAGGCGCTGTTGAGTCGTGGGCTGCTGGCACAGGAAGGTTATTTGTCACTGCTCCGGCCCACTGATGGACCTGAGTACGACCCCTCCCAGTTCCAAGAGGCACGCCTAGAGCACTTCCGTCTCTTCTTTGTCACCCGAGTTCAGTGGCCACCAGCTGACCAGCTGCAGACCCTGCTCCCAGTGCGTGTGCAGCTGTCCAGTGGAGGTTTCTAGTCATACTCCAATAAAGCATGCACCCCAGGCAATCATGTGAGTAAGTCCACGTCCCCAGCCAGTCTGGACCCAAGCAGGACAGGTGGCTTTCAAATGCCACAGGGGAACAGGTGTCAGGGTAAGGGAGAAGGGTGTGGGAAGGCAGACTTGAGCACTGGCATCTTACAGAGCAGGAGGCATCAGGACAAGTAGGTGGAGGGGTAAATGGACAACAGAGGGTAAAATGTAGTTAACTTTATTCTCCTTAAACCACAAAATAGAGTCTTTGGTTGTACAAACATCACTAGTTACAGTCTCGCCACGAGATCCCGGCTAAGGGGGGAAGTTAGTCAGAAGCCATAACTCCTGAGGGGGTCTCTTAAAATGCTAACACCAAGGCTAAAAGACTTTGGGTAAGGGAAGTGATGAAGCTGGCAGGCTCCCGCCCTAAGTTTGGGGAGGAACCTGGCCCTAGGAGGGCACAGGGCCCAGACCCCGGCGTCCTGGCCGCATGGCCCGACGGCTACTGCACAGCGTCATGTCTTCAGGGCCCACAGTGCCAGGTGAGGGCCTGCCAAGAAGCACCAGAGCCACTTCACCATCTTCTTCCTGTGGGCCTGGTATAGACAGGGATAGAAAAGCCATGAGCAAGGGTAGCCAGAACTCTGGGTGCCTGGGCACTCACCCCAGACAGGTGTCAACTCACCAGGACTGGGAGATGGTTCCAAAGTCCTAAGCTCTTCCACAAAATCTGGTGACTGGTGGGGAGACAGGCTGGTCAGGGAAGGTCCCACACCTGCCTGAACTTACACTTGCAAGCTTGGCTGTCAGGGGCAGGGCCAGAGCAGACTGGGCCAAGAGGCCCCACAGGAAAACACAGAAAGGAATGGAAGAGGGCAGGTGACAGGCAGAAGAGGGGTAGTAGGAACATGCAGACAGGCCAGGGGGCCTCCAGTACCTGGATGTCATAGACAGGTCTGGAAGAAGGCAGGGCTGCGAAGGCCCTGTAGTCAAACTTCTTTCCAGACAGGGGCTTGAAAGGACAGCATGAAGGGAAAGGCAGAAAGCACAAGGGAGGTGAGGGGCTGGTGGGGAGACCAGAGCCCTGCAGACAACGGGACTTGTGGGAGGAAGGGCCCTAGACGCAGGATCCTTACCAAGCGTCCAGGGGAGGGACTGGTCTGGAGGCTCAAGTCTGGGAACAAGAAGAAAGTGTTGGAAGAAGTGCTCAGCAGACAGAGCCCTTTGCTGGCCCCAATGAAACACATACCTTCTAATGGTGTGGGTGATGGTGTGGGTGCAGGTGAAGGCGCCTCAGCCAGCCGCTCTAGGGGTCCTCGCTTGCCACGGCCATCCTGGGACTTGCTGAGGACCATCTGTGCACGGAGGGCATCCTGCTCTAAAGACTTCATTCTGAGGAGGCAGAGAGTAAATGCTGCTGAGTGGACCTGATGTACAGTGGACAGGGTCTGGTGGGGTTAGGGAGGTGTTCACCTGGCTGCCCGCCACAGTGCTCGCTTCTCTGCCTCTAGAGCCCTACGTTCTGCAGGAGACAGGGCTCGCTCTGGGGTAGGAAGCTCAGGGCTCTGCATGCGCAAACGCTCCTGATGGCGTCGCTCAGCTTTGGCTGTCCTCACAGGGGCACTGCCTCCCAGGGGTGGGGGTGAAGATGGGCTGGAGCTAGAGAAACAGACAGGGCATGTTGTGAGAGAGGACATGTAGTAGACAAGCCAGGAAGTGGGCTCAGCCTCCTGCACTTACCCTCCTGCGTGGCCTGGCCCAGCCCAGAGCTGCTCAGCTTCTGCCTGATCATCTGGGGACTCCCTGTCCAAGGTGAGCCCCATGTCAGGCCCTGAGGTTACTGCCTCTTCCCGAAGCATCTGTGTCCTCTTCTGGTGCAGCTTGCGGGCTGTAGGCAGGCAGACATATCAGACTAGGCCAGGTCATCATCCCACCCAGGCCTCTCAAGTCTAGGCTCCTCACCTTCCTCCTCTTGCATCTTCCGCAAGTCATCAGCACCTACCAGGGACACACGCTTGGGGGGACCCTCTGCCTGAGGCACCCGGACCTCCAGCTCAAAGTACTTTTGCCGTTCCCGGAAGGACAGTTGCTCTGGGGAGGCTGCAGGACCAGGTGTCGGAGGCTAGAGGGGGAGCAGGCCCTCAGACTTGGCTGGTGTCTCTCTGGGGGCACTCACCTTGGGCACCCACCCTACAGGGCATGCAGTGGAAGCAGCAGGGCACCAATGCACATACCTGGGAAGCACTGTCCTCAGGAGGATGCACAGTGGGCACCGCTGCAAAGGCCCTATAGGCCTGCTTCACATTGGCTGGCAGTTCATCAGGGGAGGACAGCTGGGGAAATAGCTGTACATGAGGCTGGGGCAGCTGTCCCAGTGCAGCCACTTTCCAAAGAGCCAACGGCTGTACCCTCCAACTGCCTCTAACCCATACCCACCATCCTGCTCATCACCCTCACCCACTGTGGAACGGGACACTCACAGAACAGGGACCATCTCTGCCCCTGGGGGCCGGGGAGCCCCTTGGCCAGGCCTGAGCCAATGGCTGGATCACCCCCGGTTTTGTCTGCAAAGGGGAAGGAGGTGCAAAGGGCAGAGGAGAGCAGTATCTGAGGTCCAGGAGTGGGAGTAAGGAAGGATAGGGGAGAGAGATAGAGATAGAGACAAGGGAGGCTATGAGGGGACACTAATCCAAATACCTGTCTTAGAAGGGTTAAGGCTAGGCGCTAGGCTGGGAATTACCCTGTGCCCACCCCCACCCTGCAATGCATTGTCAGGAATGCTAGAAATCTGGCCCTCTCCAAGCAGTGAGGAAGGTGGGGACTAGGAGGAACCCACAGACAAGTAGGACAAGTGTCCAGAAAAGATCTTATGCTCAGTTTTTGGAAGGCTTGAACTCCTCCAGCAAGGTCCCTGCCTTCACCAAGGCAAGCTTTAATCAGGAAGATGTCCCTGGACAAAAAACACATTCTGAAGCAATACCCCAAGGGGACCCTGCACACCAGGACCCACCTGCACAGGTGCCCACAGAGGGGTACCCGTGACCAGGATGCTTACTTGCTGGCTGCCAGGGGAACAGGGGGCCTCAGTCATCTTCTCTCCAGTGGTCACAGATGGTCCCTTGAGGAAGAGAGTGGTGGTTGGGAAGGAGGTCAGCTAGCCTAGCAGTATCCCAGCCAGGAATTGGTCTGTGCATTTATCCTGGCAGCATAGAGACAGCCCTGTGCCCTAACCTGACCACCACCCAGGGATGCCATCAGACAGGCTTGGACGACAGTGAGATTTCCACAAAGGGCTCTCTTTCCCCAAGGCTGGACACAGGTGGTCCTGGCCCTCAGCCTCTCTCTCCCCAGGGCCTATGTTGGAGAGGCAGCCAGGTGCCTCTTCACAGCAAGACACTACTGCCAAGGGTACAACCCTATCTACAAAGAAAGTTTGGCATAAAAGAACAGATTGAAGCCAGACAGTTGGGACACAACAGCCTACCTACCACCAGTCCCTGACCCAAGCTTCTTTCTCAGTCATATATGAGTCAGAGAAGCAACCCAACTATAGGTTCCTCAGATGATGCTGGCTTCTCTGTTAGGGCTGTTTGGAGTGGGCAGAGATGGTACCCAAAAATCCAAATGCCCTTCCTGACAACCCCCCCCCAAAGCAATGTCCCAGCCAAGCCCACCCCCTAGGCACTCACATTCAGGCAATGGTCTCCCATCATCTTCTGGGAGTGATAGTTTTAAATACCTCTAGGAAAACAATGACAAAATGTCCTTTCTGACTGCCCCCAGGCCCACAACTGTCTCAAAGGCCACACCCTAGCTTAGACCCCTGAATGGCCACTCCCAGACCAGCTGTTAGTGCTACAACTTCCACACCCACAAGGCCCTCCTTCCATAGGCTGGCTGCAGCTGCTTCAACCCACCCTCTCCATGAAACCCCACCAAGATGGTTGAGAGGAGTGATAGCTGCCTCTTCCCAGCAGTCTGCCTGCAGCAGCAGGGCTCTGTCCTATCCAGCTATCTGGGGGTAGACAATGGGGAAGGAGAGGTCAGGGACTTCAAAGGCACTGCTTGGCACCTAGGAGAGGCGATGATAGCAACAGCCACAAATAAGGTCAAAGCTTTACAGAAGGGCTGGGCATGCAGGTCAGTGGTAGGATGTTTGGTTATTCATGAGGCTCCATCCTATATCCCCAGCACTGCCAAACAACAAAATCCCAATGTCACCTAGCTAGAGGCAGAGCTCCAGCTCAGACATCTACAAGCCCTGCCCGATCTAAGACAAAAGTTCTCTCTGAATGGTGACCTTGGCACTCAAGCTGGCAACAGTGGCTGCCACAGGGAAGGAGGAAGTTAAGACAAGGGAGACAGGCAGATAGGTAGGGCAGACAAGCCAAATGGAGTAAGACCCAGCATGCACCACTCACTCTTTGCAAACTCCCAGAACTGGGCACAGCAGCCAAGACACGGTAGTCCAGCTTCAGGGGCTCCAGATTCCGACCCTAGAGAACAGAGTGGATCCGTGCTAAGAGGGAATCTTTGTTTCAGGAATGTGACTGCCCACCCCCCACTCCTGGGCTGTGTTCACCAATGTAATGTCCTGGCAGGGGAGGCTACCCAGGCTCAAAGCTGGGCCTGTGTGGGACTTACCAGAGTCTCTGTAGACTCAGGCTCCCATGGTAGAGTTTGACTGGTCAACTCTTTCTCCTGTAAGCAGAGCAGACGTGGTCAAGAACTAGTAGCTCAGAGTCAGTCCCAGGCTGCTAGCTACTTTGATCCTGACCTTGCCTGGGCCTTCGGGACTCAGTTCCCGATCAATGGATGAAATGCTTTCCAGGCTGTTCCGGTGGCCAAGGCCTGCTGCAAATGGGTTGGCAATGACACCTGGAGACACCTGAAAGGAAAGGAGTGGGCTGAGAGAAAAAAACTTGCTGGCAAGGTCCCGCTTCTGGGGTAGGCTGTGGTCTGGACCCGGGACCCCATATCCTGACAAGCTGGCCACTCAAGGCTCTGTGGACAACCCTGCTGGTCCATGTATGACATGTGTACCTGACCCCAGCTTTCCAGGGACAAAGAGTAAGTAGTTGTGGTTCTAGGCTCAAAGGGGGGGGGGGTCACTGTGGGTGTATGTCATATCTTCACTAGACAGAAATGTGAAGCAGCCATGTTTAGCCACAATGCTTGGCATGGGGATAAAGCAAGCTGACTGTGGCCTCTCTAGGAACAAAGGAGAAATGGATAATAAGATGGGATTGGGAAGGGAATAACTGAAGACAATGAGCTTGGCAGATGGATAGGCTGCATTTAAAATGTGTATTCTGAAAGGGGAAATTCAACTACCTCTGTGACTGGATGTCTGGGGTGGAGCATGTATGAATGTACATGAGTGAGTGTGTGTGTGTGTGTGTGTGTGTGTGTGTGTGTGTGTGTGTGCGTGTGCGTGTTGGGCAGGGAGTGAGCACCTGAAAGCACATGGCCTAAAATGTGCTTAGATGAAGGTTAAAAACAGGTGATAGAAATGCAGCATCAAGCTACCTTCTATCCCACAAAGCAAAAAGGACCAGGTCAGGCCTCTACCACCAGAGGAGCTGGACAGCAGACGGAAGGCAAGATAACTGCCCCATGGTTACCATCAGGTTTCCTACTCTATGCACAGATGTGGCCTCAGACATAAACCCAGCTATGTAATGCTAATCCAGAGACCAGTGACATGATGAGAGATCTCAAGAAAACAAACAGGGAGCAGCTGCTCACACCTGGGAAGATGGAACTTGGGGTCAGGAGCAGGGAACAATGAACAACAGAAAGTAAATTTACAATGATCACAAACTATAAACACTAAACAAATGCACAGCTAAACACACAAAAGCAAAGATCATTAGAAATAAGAAAGCTGGATAAAAACAATCACAATGGTAGACAAATCTCTCTTTCGGACGCTGACAACATTACTAGATACACAATAAACAAGGTGCCTACCTTCTTCACTTCTGGAATAATTTAGTCAAAAAGGCAGTGGGGGGGCCCAAGAGAGGCAGGCTCAGCAGGGTGGGAAGGACTGTCATACAGAGGGACTGAGCAGAAAGCAAAAACAGCAAGGATGAGGAAGCCTGGTTTCCCACGTCAGAAAAGGCCACTCGAGTAAGAAGGGCTGACCTGTGGTGTTGGTTGGAAAGATTGATAATGCCATGAAGTAACCTGAGGCTTCCTATGGCTCTAGAAATAAGCAGACAGTAACTATACATACACTGTCCTTATCTCCGGCCATGATACCCAAGAGTAGTACACTAGACCTTTGCTTCTAAAAGAAATCAATACTCCTGGAGAAAATGGCTAACCTCACAGCTGGGCAGGAAAGTGTGAGATGAGTTCATCAGAGGTCAGGAATCCTTAGAAGATGGGTAGTATCAAAATGACCCAGGCCCAGCCTAAAGCCCCTTCCATGAGGCAATATTGGAACAATTTGATCACTACAATAACTGTAACTGGGCTTGAAGAGATGGCTCAGCAGTAAAAGCAACAGCAGAGGACATGGGTTCAGTTCCCACCATCCACATGGCTGCTCACACCTGTCCAAAACTCTAGTTCTATATGAGAATCCTCCACCTTCTTCTGATTTCCATGGGCTCCAGCATGCACACAGTAAATATAGTCATGCAAGCAAAATATTCATACCATAAAATAATAAATCTTAAAACCATAACTAATATGTGGAAAGTCTGTGCTGGTGATGGGTAAGGAAATGGGAACAAAGATGCCACCAGGAGAGCCAGTCCTTATAGCAAAAATGCTCAGGGACAAGCGCAAGAGCAAGGTGTGAGGACTCACTGAGGTTCCAACACAGGTGCTCAGGCTGACTTGGGAGTGAAGAGAACAAGAACAAGAGTGTCAGGTGTTCAAGATAGTTCTAGCTGGGTGGGGTGTGCTGAAGCACTTTCTACTGTGTGGGTATCACTGCCACACCACGGTGAAGTCAAAAGGCCCTAAGGCCAACAACTGCAAGTCAAGCACCATCTGGATTGGAAAGATGGGCCACTGTGATAAAGATGAACACATGATCTGTAGGGGGTGAATTAGAGAAGCAACAGAAAACATTCTCTTTAAACCAAAACACATGGGGAAGCAAATCAAAAAGTTTTCTTTGAGAGACCACAATGATTCAGGCCCACTCAGGTAGTAGTGAGGTGGGATGTGCTAAGATGACCTGTGACACCCCTTTTCAAGACCCACTAGCTACTGTAGGAAGAGACCGAGAAGTCCAAGCAGCTGCAGGTTTGACAATAAGAAAGTGCCTACATCACTGGAGAGCCTGCAGGAACCCTGAGAATCAGTCCTTAGCACAGGGCAAGCAGGATATAGCCAGCACACCCCGCCTCCCACCTGCCACTACACCCAAAAGCCCGAGGGAGGTAGAAAGATGCAGGTCAAAGCCACTAAAGAGCTGGCAAACTGATCCCACAGGTCAAACAAGCCCAGATGACTCAAGTGGGTAGTCTGAGTGAAGTGCTGGGCCAGCAAGATGGCTTGTGGGGAGAAGGGCAGCTGCTGCCAATCCCCAGGACTAACATGGTAGAGAAAACGAACTCCTGCAAATTGTCTTCTGAACTCCACACAGGTACCATAGCACACATAACCCCTTCCTCACATAAATAAGTGTAATGATTTTTTCCTTTTTAAAGTGGAGTGTAAGTAAGGATGTATGTATGCTCTCCCATGCCAAGAGGGTTCAGAATGTGCAATCCTGTGAGGACAAAAGCTACCAGTGCCAGGTCCTCAGCTTTTCTATGAGAAGTCAAGAATCATACATTGCAGTAAAGAGTCCTGATAGGTAAAGGTTGGTTCTTTTCTCCCAAGCATGCTGCTAGAGCCTCTGGGACCAGGTCATCTCACTGTGCATATATGTAAGGCCCCTTCAAGAAACCCAATGTCCACCTGAGATGGCTGTTTTTACAATTACAAGCAAAGACAGCCCCTTCTGTTTGAAAATGTCTTAAAGAAACTACAACAAACAGTTGCTAAAGTTGGGTACAAGACCACCATTGGTGGCCAAAAGCTCCAGGCTGAAAACAGACAAAGAGGGAAGCCCCAGAAGAGGCCCTACCATCACCGTGTGATGGCTGTGAGCCACAGTGCCTTTCCAGGAGATAAAGCAAAGCCAGCCAACAAGGAGTCCCTGATACTAACAGGAAATGAGAAAAGCCTGAAAGAGGCTCAAGAAAAACTCACAAAGTAATCCCAGAGTCTCAACTAGTTTTATGATAGAATGTGGCATAGCTGTTCAGAAGAGAACACACAGCCAAAAAAACTTCAAAAGAACAAAACAGAGTGGATGATGTAACTGATCAGTAACAGAACACACTATAAAGTGGCTGCCTCTGCACAATGTGGCACTGTCCGGCAGCTTCACAGTTCACTGTGGCCAAGTCCAGAACAAGCACTAGATTGCATGGGACCTACCACACAGCCAAATCATGCGCCCACCCCTCAGCAGTAGAGTAGTAAAATCTTTTCACTAATCACTGTGGGGACAATTGACAAGTATTTTAAAAATCACATGTCTTTAATCCCAGCATTTTCTTGTAGGCAGAGGTAGATGGATTTCTAAATTCAAGTCCTGGTCTACAGAGCAAGTTCCAGGATAGCTTGGGTGTGTGTGTGTGTGTGTGTGGGATATCAAGTACTGGAAAACACAGCTGGATGTGGTGGCACACGATTTTAATCCCAGCACTTCGGAGGCAGGCAGGTTGACCTTGGTGAGTTCAAGGTCAGTCTGGTCTACATAATAAGTTTCAGAACAGTTGGAGCTAGCTACTTGTGAGATCTTGTCTTAAAACAAGGAGCCTACCCTGGTGGCACACACCTTTAATCACAACACTCGGGAGGCAGAGGCAGGCAGATTCTCTGTGAGTTCAAGAACAGCATGGACTATAAAGCAAGTTCCAGGACAGCCAAGGTTGGTACACAGAGAAAACTTGTCTTGAAACAAAACAACCAAACCCCACACACAGCCCTAAAGAAGCCTTGATTCATAAAATCTGTAAATTTTCCAACAAAGGATCCCATCCTAAAAGGGAAACAAACACAAGATGGATGCTGTGGCACACAGATGTAATTCTAACTTCAGAGGGCAGGGGGATTGCCAACCTTGGCTGTACAGCGAGACTTGTTTCTAACAAACAAACAAACTTTGAAGCCAGAAGCATCAAGAAAGAAATAAGCTCAGTGGAACAAGGGAAACAGCTTCATGCTGGGAAGCACAAAAGGGGTTCCAGGGCTAGGAGTAGAGTACAGTGGAGCCCTTCCTAGAATGTCCAAGGCCCAGGATGCTCCCCAGGGTGGGGGAGCAGACAGTAAACACTACATGAAGGTGGTGTACACTTGAAACTAAGAGCAGCTAAGGCATCTTGATGAGACAAAGGCTAAAGGGGGCAGTGGTCAACGCAGACAGCTCTGTGGGCAGGAAAGGGCTCCTCCAAAGCCCTTGGTGAGATGCCTACTGCCCAGAGCTTCTCACTAACTAGGCTAACAGAAACCTGTCTTGCTACCCAGACAGAGTACAAAGGAACATCCGGCCGAGACAGGCTTTGGCAGGATCATGCATGTGCAGATAGATACACTTCCCTCCACTCATGAGCCACCCAGGTACTGCAAGAACAGCCTAGGTCACAATAGCAGGGACCACACCAGCCCTTGCAGACGTAAGTTCATGATATTTCCAGAGGGCTCCATTCTGAACTAAAAGTTTAAAGTGTGTGCACGAAGCAACGTTTTTAAACACGTGCTAATATGTGCTAATGCACAAAAGGCAGGACTCCTCTAGGATCTAGATCACTCAGAGATAAGCCACACAAAAAACTCCAGGACACAAGACTCTCTTGGGGGAAAAGCTAGACAAGGGCCAACCTTAAGCCAGGGAGTAGCACCTCACACAGACTGTAGCCTAAAACCCATCTATATGCTAAAAGACAGGTTAACTTGTTTCCCATCCAGTGGCCCTCACAGCTGGTCTGGGACAAGGTGCAGGGTCTTTGGCCAAAGGGTATCATTCTGCCAGTATCTGACAGGAAGTCACTAAACCAAAGATCCACTGCAAGGATGTCCAGAACAGCACACAGCCAGTGCACATAAAGGTCCCTTGAAGGCTTACTTGGACTATAGGTGAAAATATTGAGGGTCCCAAGGATAGCAAGGAGAAGGTAGAACAATGAGGCTAGGGTGAGACTTGTCCAGGGTGCCTGCCTCTTAGGCCTAGGCCTAGTTCTGATGGCTGGGTATTCTTTCTTGTCCTACTCTCAGGAAGCAACAGAGTAACATGGGAGTAAGCTCTATAATGGGACTGTCAGAGGGACACCCTAAGGACCAGCAGGGCCAGGAAGCTGCCATCCTGCTTTGGGGGACAGGGTATAAGGGGACTTATGAGCAGGGCTCCTTGTCCTGCTAGCTGCCACATGCCCTCAAGCACTGCCTTCCCAGAACCCTATTACAGCTCTTTTCTCAGGACCTGATCACACAGGTTCAGACCACCTCTACACTGCCTGCCCATCCAGACAATAGCCTTCAGGCAGTACTGTGATGAGGGCTCAGAAAAGGGCCTGCAAAACAGTGTCACCACTCCCACACACAGTTGGTTCATAATTGCAAGTACTTTCCAGACCAAGTAGAGAGACTCTGACAGACTATAAAGGTCAGTGCTAAAACAGCACCTAATCCCCAGGGTAGGCCACTAACCTCCAGGGCTGTGGTGGTGCTGGTATCGAAGCCATCACAGACAAGCACGGTGAGGGTGTCGCCCACACTGCGCAGCAGCTGAACAGCCTCAGCATGTGTAAGGCCCAGCAGGCTCTGCTGGTTCACTTCCAGCATCCGTAGCCCCACACGCAGCCTTCCATCACGTCCAGCAGCCCCTGTAGGGCTCACCTGTAGGGAGAACAGTGTGAGATTGCCACCAGGCACCTATGCATGGTCCCAGGAAGGAAGAGCCCTCACCTTGGAGATGAAGATGCCCTCATCTGTGGGGTCACAGGGGTTTCCCGCATGGCCTTTGGCGCCTCCTCGGATGCTGATGCCCAGCCTCTCACCAGGAGCCTTCTGAATGCATAGTTCCCGCATGCCTGGGGGTGGTGGGTCCCTCCGCACAAGCACACACAGCTCCAGGCAGGGCCTGAGAAGGGCACTGACTGCCTCTTGATGTGTGGCCTCCCGAACATCCTGCCCATTCACTGCCAGGATGCGGTCCCCAACCCGAAGGCCACAGCGAGCAGCTAGGCCCCGAGGAAGCACCTATAGGGAAGGACAACATCCAGTAGACCGGCTGCACTGATGGCTTCCCAGAGTGGCTGGGGTGGGTGCTTGTGTTGCCTTCCAGGCTTACTTACCTTGGAGATGAATACACCAGGATCCTGGATACCAAATGGGTGGCTGGAGTGATCAGAACCTCCTACGATGCTGAGCCCCAGTGGACCACCAGCCCTGGGCAGGCAGATTTCCTAAGGACATAGTGTGGGCCTCAGTCAGAACAGGGGAAGGGTGAAAGGTGCTAATGTACTGGTCATGGGCTCTGCAAGGAGTGCAGATAGGACGGATGTACCACCTGCATCTGGGACAGTCCGCTACCCCAGTATGTACACAGCCTGACATCTACACATCCTCAGACTGTGGGCATGTAGCAGAGCAAGCTACTGGCAGATTATGCTAGGGCACTAGGGTAATACCATGGAGGCTAACCTTAGCTTCTTGGGCACATGTAGAAAGGCTGTGTACTACCTCCTGTCTAGTGTTGCTACAAGTTATGACTACTGGATCCTGGGTGGCTTTTTACTCTACACTTGAATCTGAATGGAGGCTGAGCAGGATATAGGCAGGTGTCTCACCTCCACAGGGTATGGTCCTTCCAAGGCAGTGGCCAACAGGCTAGGGGACAGCCTAGATAACATAGGTTCCCCAGGCATGGCAGTGGTCATGGTAGCAGCAACAGTAGCAGTAGGGGTTGGGGAGGAACGTGGTGGGGGGCTAGGTGGGTAAGTCCCTCCAGTCTCCCTCTCCAGAAGCAGGGAGATGGTAGGGGAAGCAGCAGTCAGTAGGGAGACAGCATGGTCGTGCCTTGCCTCAGTCATGTCCACTCCATTGATCTACAGGGACACACTCAGGTCAGAGAGGGTCAGCAGGACAAACAGAAGACAGTAGTCAGGACACATCTGGCCCCACTCACCGAAAGGACACGATCGCCAACTTGTAGAGTGCCTGCCCGGTGGGCAGCCCCTCCTTCTGCAATGCGGGATATGAAGATGCCCTGTAGAAACAGAGAAACCACACTGAAGTCATAATAACAGAGACCTAACATGCTTCTGCTCACCAGGAACAGTCCCTGCTTCCACCCTAGACCACTGCCTCACCCCATCACCAGGCCGGTAAGGTGTGGAGCCTTTCCCTCCAGCAATGCTGAAGCCCAGCCCCTTTTCACTGCGCACAAGACAGGCAGCATGGCGTTGGCGGTGGGGCACAGGAGTCTCAGGCTGAAGCAGGGGCAGGCGCAGGCCACCACCCCGCCACTCCCGGGGACTATAGTCATCCCCAGGGCGTAGGGGGGTGATGGTGACTGCATTTTCAGGTTCCACCATTCTTTCCCTCCATACTCGCATCTGCACAGCAGCACCTGCCCCCCGAAGTGCTTCCACAGCCTCATGGTGCTCTGCATCCTGTAAGGCCACACCATTCACCTATGGGCAATAAAAGGCAAAGCTGCAGCAAAGATCAGCACCCAGGCATAGCCACCCCGACATTCTGACAGAACACTTAGGCTCTTTTCATGTTTGTCTTTATGCCAGGATGCAGACTAGCCATGAGGCATAGGCAGATGCCTGTGGCCATTCTACACTGGTGTCCTCACTCAGAAACTGTCACCTGCCTAGCAGAGAACATGCAAGGCTATTACTAGGCTGTCAATTCCACATGCTTCTAGACAAAGCTGGGATTGGAGCTGCAGCATGAAAGCATGAGGGGCACCAGCATCCCCTCTCCCCCAAGCTCACCTGGTCTAGAACCACAGAGCCTTCAACCCCCACTTATCTTTGTTCCCACAAGAAGGTCAAAGCTCTCCTGTGAGATCTCCAATGGCCAAGAACCCAGGCAGAAACACTCCAGAACTCCCAGAGAGGGACCAATTTCCCACCAGGATGCTGAGGTCTGACCCTACTAGGCTATTTCTGATCTACCTGATGCCTCTTCTCAAGGCTGAGGGCTGCTTTTTTTTATTTTTTTCACCCAATCCTCTTACAGTACTAGGGATTAAACCCACTATGTCTTACATGGTAGGCTAGTGACTTATCACCAAGTTATGGTGATATGGCATGGAGGGCTTCTAAGCCTACTGTTCAAGGTCTCAATAGTTTTACCTAATTATCTTTGGGCCCTAGGCTTCTGGATGGGGAAGACAGAGTCCCCACTCCCTGATAGCAATAGCCAAGTAGCCTGATAATCAGGACTATGTGGACCTTCAAGGGCACAGCTGTCCCTGCTGCAAGGCAGGGGTCACTACTTACCTCAAGGAGTTTGTCACCCACTCGGACTCCAGCACGGGCCGCAGGGCCCTCCTCAGACACTCGAGAGATGAAAATACCCTAGGACAAGTGGGGTCTAGTTCACAAGAGCACAAGCAGAGGCAAGCACCTTCTCACGGCAGTGAAAGGTACAGAGGCCAGTTACAGTTTGGCCTGCCTCTGGAGAGGATGCAAAGACCCCATATTCATGAAGGAGAATAGCAGTTCTCGAGGTCAGAAAGGCTGTACTCAGCTACTGGAAAGGCTCTAGCACAAGAAGCCAGAATATACAAGTCAATCTTGGAAGAGATTTTGACCCCAGAGCTGGCATGAGAAAATGGAGAAGGAAAACTTGTCCATAGAGAGAACAACTCAGCTGCCCTGTAAGCTGTTCTCAGACTCTTTTGACACCCTACCTGACCACCCTGCCTGGATCTGTTTGGTGCCTTGGATTGACCTATGCAGCACACTTCCTAGAGGGTGGTGACAAGGACATCTGGAGTGACCACTGACACCCCTTAGAGAAAGAGGAAGTCTCTTGAGTGGCAGGTGTGGTTGAGAGAGTTCATGGAGACAAAGCAGTTGCTCACCTCATCATCTCCTTTGTAGGGGGTGGAGCCTTTGCCCCCTGCGATACTGATGCCCAGGCCCCCTGTCTGTCGCACGATGGTGAGTGTCAACTAGAAACAGAGTGGACATGGATATCTGAAAAGACCTGGGATATCCAGGTGCTTGTAGCAGCAGGAAGAGCTGGCTGGCTGCAGATAACCCCATCTAGCTCATCCCTGGGTATCTGTGCCCACTTGGGAAGTAGAGGGAAGTAAGGAGGCTCCTGTGATCCCAGGATTGGCACAATTTTTTGAGCTAGACCATGCTGTTCTCCAGAAAGTGAAGCTTGCCCTTGCTTCTGTACCTAAGGGTACACAGTAGGATATGAGAAAGCCCAGTACTTCCACTTATCCCCTACAAGGCAGGCTGCCCCACTATGGAGACATGCATGCCCTGCCAGGGGACCAGGAAGCCCTGGGGGAAGTGGAACCAGAACCCCAGCTCTGTGGCAGCTGTCAGGAACTCCTCAGGGAGAGGGTCTGAGTTTGAGCCATGGAGGCAGGGAGAAGTGAGAGCCCGCAGCCCAGGAAGCAAAAGTCAGCAGGAGCCCCGGGCCCAGAGCAAAGAGCAGCAGCGAGCAGTACAGACCTCTTCCTCCTCAATGCGAGCAGGCTCTATCAGCAGGTTATTGGCCTGGTCAAACGACACCCCCTGTTAGGACAGGAGCAGCGAGGCATGCAGGTTAGCCACCGCTGGGAACTGCCACCACCTAACCCAGCCCTCACCATGAGTAGGCAGGACAGAAGGAAGATCCCATCAAGCTCCTGTGAACTAAGTCAGCCCTTTCCCACCCGGATCACCCCCAGTCTGTAACATCATGACAAATGCTGCAGACCACTTATATGACTGCCTGGGATGAAGGCTCCAGAGAGGCAACTCTATTCCTGGATGCTCCTGACTGGCCCCAAAACTGTCCCAGATATAATAATATCATCAGCCTCTCAGGGTAGGAGCATTGAAGGTGCAAAAAGGATTGGACTTTTGGTAGCTAGGGCTTTCTCTGGGCCTTGAGGAGTCTCCTCCAATAAATGGGTAGGTTCTTTTTGAGCCATCACAAACATGAGGATAAAGAGGAGATACCACTACTCTATTGACCTGCCTGGATCCCAGAAGGACCGGACAAGGCACAAGAGCTTCTACCAGATCCACAGGGTGGGCCACAGGCCAGCAGCAAGGCCTTAAGGCTAGTCACTTCCTGAGGCAGGAAGGACCCTGGGAGAGCCAGCAGCTCCTGAGGAGAACCTTGTCCAAGGTTCCTGAACAAACAGGACACAGAGGGGCCCTCAGCTTCCAAGTGCCCTTGGCCTCCCACTCCACCAGGCGGGCCCAGGGAGCTGCCAAGAACTTCAAATAAGATTAATGGCAGGGAATCCTGGAACTAAGTGATGAGTACACGTTGACAACAATCCCAATTATAGCACACTCATTACTCTCCTTCTGACAACCAAGGTGTCAGTAGACCAAGGCCTGATCTGTGTGCCTGCTAGATTGGGGCTGGATGTCCTCCATGTTGTCACCTGCCAGGGTCCAAAGCAGCCTACTAAGCCAGTGGAGCCTGGGTCAGGCAGGGGTTTGAGTAAGACATACCTTGACAGAGGGAGCAGAAGCCACAGCTTCTTCTTTGTCTTCTTCCATGGTGGCTTCACCTTCTTCTTCTTCAACCCTCTCTTCCTCCTCTCCCTCTTCCTGGGTTCGAGGAGCCCAGGGTGTATGGGGGCCATTGTGCCAACCTCCTGTGGGGCTCTCCCTGTCTGTCTGCACCCCCTGCAGCAGGGCCACAACAGCTTCGGGTTGTGGGAGCTTGGAAATCTTGAAGTGTTTCTTATAGTGGGGTGTGTCTTTGCGGATGAGCCTCTGCCGGCCACCAGGCAGAGGCCAGGGAGCCTCAGGCTGCCCCTCTTCATTTTCACCATTTTCCCTGGGCATCAGTGTGTCCTCTGCGAAGTGCACTGTGGGCTAAGTGGTAAAAAGATAGGGTGGCATCCAGGCCCCAGCTCACTCCTCCCAGGGCCCAGGTATGGGGATAACTGGGTGAGCCCTGCAGGTAACAGCCTGAGACTTGTGCATGTAGACGTACATAGAAAATTCAGCTGCTAAGACCAGAGGACACTTCTCTTTCAAGATACACATAGTAATACAAGGGGCTACTTAAGAACAGGTAAAGACATAGCAGGTGGAAGCATACACTGAGGCCAGCAAAGTGGGGACACCATCTAGGGAAAGCATATAGGTGAAGTACTGAGTTTGGCTGAGAAAGGAACTTTACCCTACCCTGGAGCCCTCAGGACCAATACCCAGTACCACATTTTGCACAAACTCTGCCAGAGGGAGCCCTTCGACATCCCACTGTTGCCAGGCAGCACCTGGCATGGCTCCAATCACATCTGGCTCAGGAAGACATAAAGGAGGATGGTAATAGACCCTTTCTAGAAAGCTCTTCTCCTGGCCTACAGGCTTCCTTCCTGTCTGCCCTTACCTCCTCATAGTCCTCTTCTGTGTCTTCTTCCTGTCCAGGTAAGACCTCTTGCTGGCTTAGCCCGTGTCCCTTAGCCAGCAGGGTCTCAGGCTCACCTTCTGAGGCTGTGCTTGCTGCTGGGGCAGAGCCTCCACTCAGGCCAGACTCTGTACTCAGCCTCTTCTCCTGCAGAGGAGTGGGGTCAGGCTGCATGGAAATAGGTCAACAAAGGGTACACCCAAGTGACAGACCTTTGCTAGGCTTCTTGCTGCCCTGGTCATAATATCCCCAGCAGGTTCATTTCTTGCAATCACTCCCTGTTTGTTTCCAGAGTCATGCAAGGTCATGGTTCTATGGCCCAGACCTTAGGAATGCCTTTTCCAAGATTCAGGAGAACAAACACAAAAGATCCCAGGAGGACATTAGCCAGAAGTGAGCCCTATTGCTACCCAAGTCAGAAGTAGCCATGCAAGGCCATTGCATGCCCTCTCTGCCTAGCCACTGTACCCAGGTACCCAGAATCATCCCACAGCCCAGACAACAGAAGCTTCTTAATAAGCAAGTGCCTTGCCCTGCTCTGGCACCAAACTCCTTCCCAGGTACAGATAGGAGAATGAAGATAATAGAGTTCTCCTTAAGTCTGACCCATGGCCAACATCCTCCTGTGCCACCATGGCATGCCTAGCACTTGGTCCTGGAAAACCCCAACCCTGGTTATGCCTTATTCTGACTGTACAGGTATGCACTAGGTGAGACCCACCCACTTGCACCCTTTGCCCTGCCCAACCCCCAGCTGCTGCCTGCCTATGGCAGCCCCAGACCTATTCACCAGATTATTTCCAGCCCCCTTCCTCCATGGAGCCTCTGCTCTCACAGCCTTACTGCCAGGAGGGATTGACATCCAGGGATCCCAATCCCTTCATGCCTACCTCCTCTGAAGGTGAGGGTGGGCCGGAATCAGGCTTGCAGATGAAGGCCTCATTTCGGCGCTCTTCAATGCCCCTCTTCATCACCTTGAGCTCACTTGGGTGAGGTGTAGCCCTACGCTGTAGGCCCTGCCATGGGGACAGGGATGAGGAACAGAGGCCAGGAAGGGGTCAGGCAGGGGTGGGATAGACGTGTACCGCCCAGAGTCCCCACCCCTCCATACCCGCTTCTCAGCTGCAGCTTCCTCAGCTTCCTCGTCACCTTCAAGCGTCTCCATGAACTGGATGACACTGACACGGCTCAGAGGGGCATCACTACAGCTCTCTGAGGGACTGCTCTGCTGTCCAGGGTCTTCTGTGGAAGGCAAGAGTCAGGGACACATGCTAGTCTCCCTGCCTCAAACACCCACCATTCAAGACCCAGCCATCAGCAACCTACCGAGGCTTGGCAAGGGCTGCTGGGGCAGCAAGTAGCAGGTAAGCACCTTTTCACCAGTCTGGGCATCATCCTCAGTTTGGAAGCGGAGCATGGGTTGTGCCTGGTTCTCAGCCAGCCACAATGCCTTGAGGTTGAGGTGAGTGAGCGCAAACGGCAGACTCCGCAGCCTGGAGGCCAGTCAAGCATGGTCAGCATACATAGGGATGCAGCCTGGTCCCCAGGGGCCACACAGACACTCACCGGTTCCCAGCTACATCAAGCACATGCAGCTCAGCTGTATGGGCAAGTTCAGGGGGAAGGACAGCCAGGCGATTGTCTCTCAAGGAAAGGACACTGAGGGCTACACAGCCTCCAATTTCAGGTGGCAGCACCTCAAGATGATTCCGGTCCACATTAAGGTTAGTCAGTTTGGTCAGCTTGCCCAGAGAGCGGGGTAAGGCCTGGCCAGGAAAAGGAAGGATCTGAGGCTGATAGAAACCTCCTGGGGTAGGAGGAAAGAGAGAGGCCTCAGGGAAGTAAAGGTCTCCCTAGTTTGCCAGGGTTCCCATAGCCCTCAGGAACTATGGCTGGACATGGAACCAGTTTGCACACCCATTTTTGTCTTATTTTGTTTACTTTCAAGGACACCACACATCCTGCCAGGCCACTTAAGACCCCAGACTGTCTTCTCTAGTCCTATCCTACAGCCACCTAGCTCAATCTACTGAGGCCATGTATTTGTGACCCCTCACTATCCCAGGTGCCTACTGTTCACACCTGCTACTTCATTTCTAGGGTACTCTCTTCTCTCACTACTGTGATTCTGGGTACTCCACATACAGGAACATTCCACACTACCCACACACTGGTCTGTCTCTCAGCCTGACTCCAGGCTAACATTATGGCAGATACCTCTAGTTTTGGGGCTACCGCATCTGTTCTCCCTGGTTACAATGGGGCACACATACTGAAGGGCAGTATTCTTCCTGCCAAAGCCATCCTTGCCTTCTTTCCAATCCTCCCTGGCATCGCACCACACGTCTGGAAAAACACAACCTGAACGCTTTAACTGGCAGATCCTACAGGATCCCATAGGTCCTAGGCCATTTCATATGCTAGTGAGCTCTTTCTCCTGACTCCACGGGTATCCTAGCAAGCACTTCCCTTAGAATAAGCCACCATCAGCACATGCCACTGCCACAGGTGCTCGTATTCCTGCTACATATTAGCACTGACTATACTCAGCACACCCTAAAGGGCTTGGTGCCTCAGGAATGCCCTACCGTTAATAGGTTCTCTGTGAGTATCAGCTCAGAGAGGTTCTCACAATCCCCAATGGCTTCGGTCACCTCGTACAGCCGGTTCTGGTCCACCTTCAGTATAGACAGCTGCTTCAGCTGACCTGGCATCAAGAAGTCATGGTGACTAGATTGAGTCAGGTCAAGGGCACTTGAGTATGTGGGTCCTCAGAATGGCCACAGACTGGCCCCATATTCCAGTGATAGCTTATTTCTCTGAGAACTCTAAGATTCCCTATGCTAACAACCCCCCTCCCAGCTCTTTCCCATCCACTGATCCTTGTAAGTCCATATTCTCAACTCTTGTGACCACAAGTGACCCTGACTCTTGGGGTATTAATTGGATAGTGGGTTATCTAACTCCAGCTTCATCTTAATCTTTCCTCTCCAGACACCTCTAGCCTGGGCAAAGGCAGGTCCTAACCCAAGACCCCGTTTGGCACCTCATAAGGCCATTGATTAGAATATACAGTTCCCAGGGCCCTCTGGGCTCACTGACCGATGCCCTCTGGCAGCCGCTGAAGCAAGTTCTGGGAAAGCAGCAGATCTGTGAGCAGTGCCAGCCCACCCAGCTCCACAGGTAGCTCCTCTAGCCGGTTCTCTGACACATCCAGGCATACCAGCCGCCGAAGATTCCCTAGCTCCTGAGGACAATCATTGGATGTCAAAGGGCAGCAGGTAGGGGGATAAAGCCAGTCTCACCCTCACTTACCGGGGGCAGTGCTGACAATTGGTTTCGGTCTAGCCACAACTCTCGAAGGTTAGGCAGAGCCCCCAGAGTGTCAGGCTGCAAGAAGGGACAAAGACAGGGTAAACCAGTGTGACACCCACCACACCCCACCTGTTCTTCCCCAGGTAGCCCTCACTGTACCAGCACTTCCAGATCATTGCCTCCTAGATCCAGCTGTTCTAGCTTGACCAGAAAAGACAGGGACCTGAGAAAGAAAAAGTCTTGATGGCCAAGCCCCAGCATAGCTTTACCAGAGTCTAGGTAAATGCCCCAAACTTACGCAGGGAGAGATTTAAGCAGATTCTCCCGGAGTTCCAGGGTTACCAAGTTGGCCAGGCTGAAAGAGACCAAGGGCCAAGGCTGAGGAAGGCAGGGCCAAGACAAGTACTCCCTATACTCAGATCCACTCACCAAGGGGTTACTCACTTGCCCACATCTCCAGGCAGTGCCTGCAGGGACACATCGTTCAGGGCCAGGTGAGCTAGGCTTCGTAGCTGTGTGAAGCCATCTGGAAGCCTAGGGAAAGGAAGAAGCAGACCTTACATACCCATGGAAGGGTTACAGAACCTCTCAAGACCCAAAGCCAATCCTGAGTATGTAGTGACACTTACCTGGACAGGGGGTTCCCACTGAAGTCTGCAATCTCCAGAGCCTTACAGAACTTTATGCTCTCGGGTATCTCAGGAATGTCTGTGTGTGGAGAGGGGTTTGCCATGTTACAGCCTCAGGAGATCCCAGGAGCCTCCCTGCTTCACCCTCCTTCCACCCTGCCTGCCTGCCCACCATTCCGGGACACATCCAGCTCCACCAGCTGCATGAAGTTAGCCACTTCAGGAGGCAGCCGCTGGATCTCGTTGTCACTGAGGCCCAGCTTTCGCAAGTTTAATAGCCGGAAGAAGGGCTGTGGGTAGCAAAAGACATGATTAGGTGAACAAGCTCTGCAGTGAAAGCTCTAAGGGTAGAAAGAAATTTCTAGACCAGGAGGATCATGGTCCCTGAACCCCTATGTGTCCTACATCACACAAGGTCCTGGCAGTCTTGCCATGGCACCTAGTGTGCTGGAAACCAGGCAAAGAAGCATGCACAACACATCCCTGCTCCTGTAAAGCCTGGTCTCCCTTGTGTCATTTGTCATATTCACCACTACTATTCTGCTTCCCAGATAACTGAAACATCATCAGTTCCTGTCTGGATAGTCCCTGCCCTCTACTGTATGGGTCATTCTTAGGATTCTACCCACTACCCAAACTGCTTCTTTCATCACAGATAAACTCTTCAGCAATGAACAGCAAAACCTCGACAAAGACTATCAAGAGAACTGTAGGAAAAACACCATTGAGAAACACAGGTACAAAAATTTTAGGATCCACACATAGATACTATAAAGACCCATGAAGAACAGACCTAGACTGGGGCCATATCCCATGCCACCAGCCCTCAAGAATGTCAGACCACTTGGACCCCCATCTCAGAAAAGTAAATCTTTCATAACCTGCTTCCTCTGGTCTTCTTTCTGGAGTGGCCTCAGGAACAACAAAACCAACAACAAACCGACAGGAAAGAACACAGGCAGTGAGAGCTGGGCCCTCCTCTGAGAGATGACAGAATAGATCTGACACTGCAAGTGTCTTAGGAGGGTCCCACTCAGTTCTGAACCCAAGGGGAAATAAGGGAGCAGAACACGGTGAAAGAAAACCAGGCTCCTACCTCTAAAGCAGCCCAGCAAGCTGTTGCTAGCCCAGGTTGACCTCGCACCCTGGTCCCACCCACCTCCTGTGCTCTCACGGGTTTACCTGTTGGCTCCCCTTTTAGGCTCACTATCCACCCGGTCCCCAGAGAGGCTGCCACCAGGTGCCAACACAGGCTACTGGAGGAAGGTGGGGCTGGCTGGGGCGGGGCTCTGGCTAGTAGGAACCAGCAGGGCCGGCTGGAGGTTGAGGTGCCGACCAAGCCCGGGCAGCGCCTGCTGAGGTCTCGCTCCAGCTGGCTGCCCCAGAAATCACACACTGCTCAGAAAACTGAGCACGGGACCGCGGACAGGGCAGCAGGTGCTGAGGCGGCCGCTCACCTTAGGTAGCTCGCGCAGCTGGTTGGCGTCGAGCAAGAGTTCCTCGAGGCTGCGACTGTAGCGGTAGATCTCCTCCGGCACAGCCTGCAGCGAGCAGTGCCTCTTATCCACCGACTCCACGTGCCGGTTGCAACGCCAGAGCGGGATGCACTTGAGCATGTTGCGGGTGGGCAGTGAGCGCGGGCTCAGGCCGGGGGGCGGGGCTCGGCCCGCATGAGCGCCGGAGCAGCGGCACGGCCCGCGCGGGGGTGGGGCGGGCCGCCAGGACCCGGACTGCGGCCGGGGTCGGCACTAGGTTCGGCCCACGTTCAGTACGAGATGTAGTCTCGGACGGCGGCACCCAGTTGGCGGTCCGGCCTGATCCGGCAGCGCTTTCTCAGACGCTGGGGGCACGGCGGCGGCTCCTCATCCCTCCCGGCCTGCTCACCTACACAGCTCGTCTGCCCGCAGCACCGCAGCCGGAACCGCCGCCGCTGCCCGCGACAACCGCCCAGCCGCGTAGCCCGCCGGGAAGCCTAGGCCCGCCCTCACGACTCAAAACTGCATTTCCCAATAGGCCCCGCGGCGTGGCGCCTCCGACGACCGGTAGCGGTCTCGCGCAGGGCATGTCGGGACTTCCGTCCCGCTCCGGCGCGACACATTACAGCTATAAGAACATAGATCCAGGCCGACGGCGTGCCAACCCTGGGTCCTGGATGCGATGGCTCTAGGGTTCAAACCTTTGTCAGTACTACACTTTTCTCAGCACTACTCATGTGAGCGAGTGCTGCAAGCCAGCACTGGCCAGTGAAGTAGATAAAGCAACGCCTGTTCCCATACCCGGCCCTTCCGTTTACGCCTGCACAGTATGCCTAACACCCTCCTGGTCATTGGTGCCTTGTCAACACTGACAAGACACACACATCCACACACAGCCGTCCTGGGTCAAGGGACCAACTTCAGACAGGGATTTTAGGGCCAGCAGTATCTGCACCTTTATGTACACTACAGTATGGGCTGGGCAGAGTGCCTGGTCCCAGGGACACCACTGTTAACACTCTACAAAACCCAGAGGAAATAAGGGACAAGTGCAAGTCCAGGAAAAGAGGACAAAGTCACGCAGAGAGGTCGCTGTTATCAAAACGCTCCTGGTCATACACTTCAGCAACCACCTTACGGCCAGCAAACCAGCGCCCATTGAGGGCCTGGATGGCCTTATGAGTCTCTGAAGCCATTGAAAATTCCACAAAAATCTTGACGATGATCTCTGCATCTTCCTCCTCGCCCTGCTTTTCCTGGTAGATAATGACCCGGTTCACAGCACCAAATTTGCCACATTCCTCTGTCACCTCTCCCTCCAAGTCATCGTCGATGTCCTTGGGGTCCACCATGTTTCGTAGAACCATCACTGTGGACTGTAAGAACGGAAGTTGAGTGTTGTGGCATATCAACCACAGTACCCCCACTACCCTAAAGAGGCCATTGCACTGGCACTGGCCCACCTACCTCCTGTTTTCTGAGTAGCTTCTGCATGACCATGTGACGAGCACTGCTGCCAGAGATGCTCATGTGCTCCTGTTCACTTAACATCTCTGGCCGCTCTGACTCAGTAAACAGCTCCTCCTCTTCCTTCTCTTTCTTGGGCTCCAACAGACCCAATGTTGGCGGGCTGGCTAGGATGGGATTCACCACTCCCACAGAGGGGATGGTGACTGGAATGGGAGGGCGGGCTGGGGTCACACCTACAACAAAACCAACCAAGTTCAACAGTCATACATATATCCTACTTGAGTAGTAGAGAGCTGGTCAGCTATAGCCAGCCTCAAGGTGAGGGGTAAGGAATGGTGGAGAACCTGACCACTCACACTCACCTGTGATGACTCCAGGGGCCTGGGCAGCCATGACAGCCTGGGGTAAAGCCCCTAAGGGCTGGGCCAGTGTCAGTGCTGGGGACACTAGTCCTGGTGTAGCTAAAGTACCCAGCACTGCTGCTCCAGCCACTGCTTCCTGCAACCAAAAGGCAACCACAGTCAGTTTCTAGTCTGGCTACCTCCACCCAAAACCACCTGAAGAGCCAGTTCCCAAACGGATCAGTGGGCCTGCCACCCACTGTCAAACCCACACCACTGCACCAGCTCTCACCTGAGCTGTAATCTTGGCTGTGGCTGCAGCTGCAGCCACAGCAGCAGCAGGCGGAAGACCTCCAGGCGTGGCAGGTGTTAGCAGGGGCATGGGGGGTGTGACGGCCTTGCCCACCCTCAAGTACTGGCCACCCAGATCAAAGAGGTTCATGGAAGACACAGCATCCTGGGACGACTGGGCCTTTTCATATTCTGCAGGGCAGGATGAGCAGTGAGGAAGGCCGGCCCCAATACCAAGTGGGTTCCCTTTTCTCCTTGGCTCTCCCCAAACTCACCAATAAAACCATAGCCCTTGTGCTTGCCAGTTGTGGGATCCCGGGCCAGTGTACAAGACTTGATCTTGCCAAAGGCTTCAAACACACTCTTGATGTCATCATCAGAGAGGTCCTGATGTACAGAGGCCACATAGATGCGGTTGAAAGCCCTAGCCTCCTCAGCCAGCTGGTCTATAATGGGTTGGGCCTGTCCTATGTTGCTGGGTCTGCCCACCTAAAAATAAAGAGGCCAAGAACAAAGTGTTCCATCAGCCTAGGCCTGTGTTGCCTACTTGTATGTGAGTACACAAGGCACTCCAGCTTTTTCAGCTCTAGGTGAGGTCCAAGACCAAGACTCTCTTGTCCTTACCTTGATGTTCCTGCCCCCAAGCATCACTGAGTTCATCTGCTCCAAAGCCAACTGTGCAGCTTCTGGGACCTCATACTCCACGAAGGCAAAGCCCTAAACATAGGGAGTTGCTATCAGGCCAGGAAAGCAGATAAAAGGGCAAGCTAGGACACTGGAGTAGCTCCAGTCTACTTACCTTGTGCTTCATGGTAACAGAATCCCAGGACATATCAATGCTCTTGATGGGGCCAAAGGGAGCAAAGGCCTGGCGAATGGTGTCTTCCCCCAGCTCGTAGTAGATGGAACCCACATAGACCCGGCACATGATAGCCAGTGCCCGCTGCCGCTGAGCTGCCATCTGCAGCAGGACAGAAGGAGAGAGCCACTGGCTTGTCAGGAAGGCAGGAGACTAAGCATCCCTCTCCCATCCTGGCCCACCCTCCCAGCTCTGCTGTGGGAAGGGCTCCCCACACAGCAGTGAAGTGCAGGCTGGGCTCTTGCACTCAGGGCTTCGGGGTCAGCAGGACCCCACCCCAAGGAAGGCCAGGCCCAACAGCAGGACATGGAAGTGCCCAGCCCACCCAGGTCCCAGACAGACTATGCCAGCAGAGCTGACAGGTGGTCAGAAGCCAAGGCTGAATGCCCTGTAATTCAGCCCACTTCTCCAGTCTGGGGGCCAGGTACCTGGGCTAGGTTGGGAGATCCTCCCATTAATCTAGCCAAGTATTGGGACAGAAGAGGGAAGGAGGAGCTGTCCAAGCCAGATACACCTACTGGCATGGAGGCCAGAAGAGAGGGTGGCAGAAGACAGGGCAGGCATTGCCCAGAAGAGATCCCAGGGAAGGAATCTGGGAGCCCAGACAGGGGCTCTCTGGAGAGAACAAGGAGCAAGCTGCTCATGCAGGGAAACATAGGTGAGGACTCAATGTGCTCTATATATATCTCCTATACCAACACCACCCACAAAAAAGAGCTGCTTGGAGCACATGACTGAAGCCACAAGAGATGGCCCAGGTAAGAGCATCACAAGGCAGCAGAGAACCCAATGAAGAAGTCTCAGGGATCCTTGGGGCTGGGAAGCTGGCAGAACTAGCAGTGAGCTGGGCCACTGTAATGAGGGACCTCCCCATGCCCTGGGAAAGGCTCCTTCCAACATTTTACAGATGTACAAGGCAGGGGGTTCTAGAGTCACAGGTAGGCCCCATGGGCCATGCAGGGCCTTACTCCATAACACAAACAAGGGCTTCTCTCACCCTAACAAAGGTCCCAGGGGCAAGAGACCAGTTTACTTCTTCAGACATTAGCAGGCCCAGTCTCCCTAAGAGAGAGGACTAAAAGGTCCACTAACATAGGACTCACCCAGGTAGGGTCTTATTTTTCCTCACATAAGGGGCACCCTGAACTTGGGACTATTCTCTCAGACTGGCTCCTGACAAGCCTCAGGCCCTTGCCCAAATGAAGGGCCTCAAGGGTAGAGCCACCCTTTCTCTAAGCCCCACAGACATGAAGCCACATCTGTCCTTCAGGTCACACTTGACAAGAGAGTACTAAGTCTCCCCTTCTAGGTGAAACTGCCCAATTACAGGTCTCTGACCACATCTCCCAGGACTCCTCAGAGGGTCAACAGCTCCATTTCAGACACATATTTCCCAGAGTAGATAAAAGTATGTCTCAAATGTGAGGGCAACTCATCCAGGGATAGCCCTCCAAGTGGATACCCCAGACAAAGGGCCATGTCTTTCCCACAGGATTTCTCCAGGATAGGGCCTGACCACTTCAACTTGCCTCTGGGCAAGAAAAAGCCATCTCCTTCCCAAACTCCTCTGCTTACTGCAGCCATGGCCACATAACCTCTACCCCTTGCTGAAAGCTAGGTCTGTGACCCAAGTTGTTATTTGCCCTTCCCTCTCTTGCTCACTCAGGGCCCCAGCCCCCACCCACCCATCCATCCTCCCTCCAGAGTATGATGGGGCCACAGTTAGGACCCCTCTCTTATCAGGGGCCTGACCCCAACCCAAGAGCCCCGGCAGCCTGGAAACTGTCGGAGTTGGAGGCCCACAGGTACATCCCCCACATGGGGAGGCAAGGCACAGATGAGCCTGGTATTTGGCAGCTACCCTCCCTGGCTGGCTGCCGCGGCTGCCCTCCGCAGTTACCTGGCCGGTTAGTTTTAAGGTGGGCCCTCAGAGCAGATGGAGGCCTCCCCAGGGGCGGTCCCGGGGTGAGTGCCCACACCACTGGCCCCACCATGCCTGGCGCTCTGCTGTGCTCGTCCAGAGCTGGCGGGCAGGGCCAGCCAGGGGAGCAAGGTCCCCAGCAGTGGGCTGCACTGCCCCCCTCTAGCCCTGACTAAGGACATGAGCCCCAGAAGAAGTGAGCATTTCTATTGACCGATTGCAAAGGTGAGAGAGGATCTCCAAAGCCCATTGTCACTGCTGCCATCTGAAAGACAGTAAAGACAGAGTTCAGTCTGTTGGAGCCGAGCAGTCTCCCGCTCTTGTCAACACCTCACGCAGACAGCAGCAAGGCACGGAGTCCCCGCCCTGCCAGGGAGGCCCGCCTGCCTTCCCACACTGCTGGCCACTCTGGCTGGTCACTGGCACCTGCCCAGGGGGGGCTTCAGAGCCCCAGGTGCCCCGCCCCACAGCCTTTGCAGCAAGACCGGCGAGGGCAGAAGGAAGGGAGGAGAGGGATGGACAGCATAGTGAACAGCCAGTATGAATGTCTGAGGGCTGGACCTGGGGGTGGGGAAGGCTCAAGGCCCAGGAACCTGTCAGCTTCACATAGGCTTCTTCCCACAGATATCACAGCCTCCAGCCTAGTGTAGGGCCTAGTGGAGCATACCACTAGACTGCCCCTTAGTCGAGGGCCCCAGG